ACCCCCAGCACCGCCATCCCCTCACAGGGACCCCCAGTACCGCCATTCCCTCACAGGGACCCCCAGTGCCGCCATCCCCTCACAGGGATCCCCCCAGTGCCACCATCCACTTTTGGAGGGCAGTGGAACTAGTATCTCTCCAAGGTCCCTTCAGCGCAAATGAGTCTGTGATTGATTCTGTGATTCTGTGATTATTTATGGGACAATCCCCAGAAGGGGAGATGCTGCTGCGGCAGCCGGTGAAATTTCCTGTATAAAGGGGAGATCCTGCCATAGCAACTGGTGAAATTTCCTGTATAAATATTGATGAGTCCAGCAGGAAAAGCGCCTCAGAATCTGCCAAGTCAGGACCGCCCCATGGCTGCAGGTCCCTCCCCACCACCCTCACAGACTCACACAGACATGTCCAGCGGGATCCTCTTCATTTCAGCCTTGTCAATGCACATGGAGAAATGTGCTGTTCAAAACCTATGTRTTTTACATCTCAACCCCCTTTCATTTAATTTCTTTTCTTGGGCAGAGGCGTTTTTATTTATCTTCATTCCTTTCTTAAATCTGAGCCTAGCAAAAAACAGGTTTTTCACCACTGTCYTGTCATCATCAGCATCTGAACATTTTGGTGACGATGTTCGGAGCTGGTATGGACAGGACAGGTTTCATTCCAGCTGCTCTGCCTTGTGCATTGCTTTCATATTCAGAATCTGAAAGGTTTCGGGATTTTTTTTTCTTCCTCAGAAATGTTCCTATTCAGAGAAGAACCAACCCTAAATAAAGAACATAAAGTTATTTTGGAAATAAACTGTAAAGTCGGCAAGACAAAGACTTAAAATCAGCTAAACCTTCTCTCTCCTTTGCTTGCTTTCATGAATAGTTTTGGAAAAGATCCTGATTTCAGTTTTGAACTAGGGGCAAGCCCCATGTTCAAATTTTCTACATTTTTCCCTTTGCTCAGCTTGACAAAGGAAACTGTGTCCTCACCCAGCAAGCTAGTGTGATGTTTCACATCATGGGACTAATTTTCCCTCCTAATTTGTTCATGTTGAATAAGAAAAGATAATTTTCAGACATTAAATTTAGATTAAGTCATGACTAGTAGTAAAGCCAGCTTGATCTTGTTATAAATATGCCTTGACCTAAGTGAAAACAATTAGAAGATAAAATGATTCTTAAAAGTCTAAGTGTCTTCTTATAGAATACACTATAGTGGGAAGCAGCGACCAGATAAGGAGATATTAGGTTTCTTAGGCTGAAGAAGATTACACAAAATAAAGCAAACCTAATTTTTTAAGTGATCATTCCCTAAAACTGGGTCAGGAAATGTTGCCTCCCTTTGTGAGCAGTTATTAAAACCAAGCAAATCCTTCCTGATAAGAAAGTATTTAACAGGATTTCATAGGAGAGATAASCACACCAGAAGACATTTAGTTATAATTAGGAATGCTCATTGATTTACTGTATCCAAACTACCAAGGGCTGGTCAAGACCATTCAAAATACTTGATAAATTCACAGAGATTTCCTACACAGGTAGTTTCCCTCGTAATTTTATATGAGAAGAGCAGGATCTGAGGTAAACACAACAATTCTTGTCAGAAATCCAGCCGCCTTTCTGTTCTCCTTTCAGCAGGAGGCAAGGAGATGTTTGTGTTTCCAGGTTGGAGTTTGCTKCTGCTTCCTCAGGCGTGAGGATGAGCTCAACGAGGTCAGCCGGAACCGACTTGGATTGGTTTCAAAAAGCCAGTGCGACAGAGGATGAAGTGTTCCTTCCAGGGAGATGAGAGGCAGCAGATCAGAGCTAATGCCTTGCCTTTGGATGTTTTGTTTTCTAACTGTAGGGTTGGAAGCCTCCCTGGCAAGAGAGGTTGTGCAGTTGGAGGTTTTCAAGACTCAACAGGATAAAGCCCTGAGTAACCCCACCTTGGTCTCACAACTAATGCTGCTTTGAGCAGCAGGTTGGACTACAGGATCCTTCCAACCTGAGTTATTCTATTATTTTCATCCATTTTACACCCATTATCTTTGGCTTTCTTCAGATAGCAAACTGAGAAAGACTAGGCTTGAAAGTTCACTTGCATAAAGCATGGCCAGGAAAAAGAATTGTGAGCTTAACTGCTTTGTAGGACTGAGCCATATGACCCAGCCAGAAAGAGGTAAAAATCTCTGTACGATATGATAGCTCTGCAAAGAAGAATTATAAAAAGATTGAGGAATTACAAGTCTTTTGAAATACATATCACRGACTTGTATGTGTTTGCAAAACGAACTGGAACTGCAAAATAACTACTGAGACACTTTTAAAGCACTACAGCCTCCAGTGTCCTGCATAACAAGGGCCAAGATGGCTTTTGGGCACAGCCTCCCCTGGCTGTGCGAGGTCATATATCGTACAGTCTGAGCTGCTCCTTCATGTCTCCTTCAGACATCTCTCCAAACGTGTCACTTTTTTCCTTCATCAGTCTGAAGATGGCAGCCAGCTGCTCTCTCTGAACCCTGTCRAGAAGAAAAGGAGAAGTAGGAATAGCCAGTCCAGGAGCAAGCACGCTGAGGTCAAATGGAACACGGAGACAAAGGCAGGGCACTGTGCAAACCTCAGTGGCTGCAGGAAATCTGTCCGKGTGAGATAAGGCAGAGATAGCCTCTGGTTCTCTGTCCTCCCCCTTCCCATCTATTCCCATCATCCCATGCATGTCTCTCTGCAGCTCCTTAAACGTGGAGATAAACCAGCCTGYTTTAACACTAGCTTTGGAGTTCTTTAGGGCTTATCTATGCTCAAAGTTTCAAGATAACTTGACATGTGGAATTTTATAAGACCAACATGCCCCAATTTAGCACAGTCCATAATGAACCTGGATTAAGATTCAACAGCACAATGTCGGTTCATTCTGTAATGAGAGGACATAGATACATAGTAATTCAGGAATAGCTGTTACATTTTAAATGCATATCCTAACTTAAAAAGTAGAAACCAGACTGCCTCCCAGTGTGGACATGACTTTAATCAAGCAGATATTGGAAGATAAGAACACAGATAGGAATTTGGATAGGATTTGATTTGAGTTTGTCTGCCAATGTCAAATGGTGAGATGGACCCAGGTAGCCAGTCCATCAGTGAGATGGTCCCTGTGTGGGCAGAGGCCGACCAGTGGACCACCTAGCTCAGATTTTTAATCCCCAGGCAGTCCCATAGTAGATGATTAACRCTCTTCTCCTCCTAACAGAGGATATCCTGATTTTTCCTTGCTCTGAACCAGTTAACCATTGTACATTCCACAGCATGAAGATTGGTATCTGTGACAGGGCTTTATTTGGAGAGGCTTTAYAGGAGGGCTTGTATTGACCATCACTCAGGGGTACACTCCTGTGGACAGTACAGGAGTGTCATTTGTTTGCAGGTAGCTCATGATCTGAGCTACAAAATTCTCTTTTAGGGCAAAATGAATGTGCAYATGGCTCCAGGCAGGGCTGGCTGAGGGATGGAATGTTCCCACTGCCAGACTTGTACCTGATTGGGATCAAGCTGCTCTATTGCCTAGCACATCTCGTTCCTGACTCTCCTGTGGAAGATGAAAAGAACTAATGAGGATGTGGTGCTTTATGGCTGTAACAAGGCAGATGTTGTTCCTATTACTTCAAGGCTCATTTTGTTCCTGYGTGAACATGGGGCCAGAACTCAGTGACAGCTCAGAGCACAGAMCTGCCACAACCTCATCTCCTCCTCCTTGTTCAGCACCTTTAGACTTCCCGTAGGCTAAAAAGGCAGAATCTGGCATTTACTCCCACATAATCAGCCAGTCAAGAGTCCTCTTTCCTGCCACAACCAGCTTCCCACACAGGACTTTAAACCATTTAATTAATCCATTTAAATGCACGCCACTGGATAACCTGGGGTAGTCTTCCTGCAAGCCTGGGCGGACAAGCTATCAGCTGTTCCAGTAACAGGAGGGGCAGGGATAACTATTGACAGGCAAAACCAGGACAAAATCTTTGCTTGAAAGAAAGGACAGCATCAACCCACCAGCARCACAAACAAGAGCAGTGGAAGGAGACAGTCAGGAATGAACAGAAGACCCTTCCCTCTCTTCCCTGCTCCTCAGCTCCTGCTCTGGGTTCAGCCCCAGCAGATACAGGAACAGCAGCCTGTCCTCTCAGCACTGCTGAAGCAAACAAGGGCAGGAAAAAAAGCAGATCCTGGCTAAAGCAAGCTCATTTGCCAGTTCTATTCTATTTCAATTGTCCTAAAGCCAAACATATCTTGATAATGATGTGGGATCTGTCAGTTATGGAAGCCTGGATTTGTCTGTCTCTACTGTAATGTTTTCTGCTCACAGGAAGAGCATCCAACTGCCCTTTCCAGACAAGAGGAAGGGAAGCAGGATCATTAGTGATCAATATTTTAGATCAMTGCTGGGCACCAGAGGGCACATTGCCAGTCTGGTGTGGAGAAATTCAATACACAGCTTGGCCTCCTATGTCTCCAGTCATCCCAGCTGGAGTGCTCACACGGGTCTGCATCCCTCACTCCTTATTTCAGACATCAATAATGCTGAAACCTCTCCAAAGGCTCATTTCCTTGTCTCCAATATGAGAAYCATAGGCAATATTAATTTTCTTTCTTTTTAAGCACAACATCAATGCATTTTTGCTCTCCCCTCAACTTTAAATATCATGACTGTGCATTTGGAAAATAGAAAAAAGATATGTTACTGCCGTTACTTCTCTGYACTGCATAATCTACAACAAAGGCACAGCAAAACAAAGATAAAGAGAGAAAAGAGCCTGGGAAGGAAGAGTAAGGCAYCACAAACATGAAACTGTGTTTGAAGAGGAGCTGCTCCTATCAAAGGCAACTTTGCAAAACAACTTTGTAGAGCTCCATGTTGGTTTAGTTTTGGTTTGGGTTTTTTTGGATGAGTTCAGATCAACAGACTCCATTTGCAGTTAAAATAATTCTATCTTCTCATAAACGTTGTTCTCAAAACTACTTGGATTCAGGAGGTCAAACAGGATTTTACTTATTGCTGACAAAATAGATTAATTAAGGATTTTCAAAGCAGCCTTATTCCTCTTCATAGGCAATTACATTTGCATACTTAGCTCCCTTAGGCTCTTTTTAGACATTTCAGTCCAAGACTTTTACAGTTAGCTGGAGGTTTGGGGCAGTGAGYCATAGGTATGTTAGAGATCTGGGGTTTAGGAACTGCTAAGCTGAAATCCTGGGCAGAGCTCTGCACTGGGAATGTTGTTAATTGCTCTGCAGCCAAACAAGACCAGGATCCTGYKGCAACACTGCRTTGCTTCAGCAGAAAAAAAGCAAAYATCCCTGATTTTCCCTCTGATCTCACTCTGTTGTTAAGGAAGCCAGTGGAATCATTTATGGGGTAAAAGTCATAGGAGGGTAGAATGTACCTCTACCCTAAAATCCAGATTTTTGACACAAAACTCTTGAGGACAAAGTTACAARCTGCTGGAGGCAGGGAGAACAAGCACAAACCAAATAAACTATTCAAAGGTTTATTGGACCAAACAAAGGCAATTTTTACAGATTCAAGCCACTAGAATTACAGTCCTTTGTATAAGAGCCACCATCAGATACAAAACAAACAAACAAAAAACAAACAAAAGTAAAAAATACCCAGACAGCCATTTGAGTTGAAGAAAGAGTTTGACTTGCTGCTGCTAGCAAAAATCTGGACTCAACTACCGACATTGCTGGATGTACACATTGCCATGTAACTTAAACACAACGGATATAAGGCATTCTTTGCATAGTTGGGTGCTTGGGACACAGTCAGCCAGCCAGCACTGAGGGGAGACAGCAGCTGTACCAGCGGGATGTTGAAGCAGAGGGTCCAGATGTGCCTAAATTCATATGCAAACCACTGAACACGCTTGCAGTTGTCGGCTGGGAAGGGGCAGCCCAGCCTCTTCTAAAGCTGGAACCTCCTGCTGTTCTTTACATGAGCCCTTTAATGCAGAGTTTGCCAACCCCAGGCGCTGGAAAGGACAACTGTGTACAAGGTTTCAAGTATTGTCTGCATAGGAATTAAAAAGGAGGGAGGGGGGCAAGCAGCCTGTTGGGTTCCTGATATGTTTGCAGYATTAGCCAAGAGTCAGTGACAGAGAAGCTTTGAAGGACACATCCCCACCCAGCCTGGTGTTTCTGCAACATTGCTTGAGGACTTGGACCCTCTTTTCTCTCTCAAAAACCAGCTGGGTTTAATTTAAAACTGAGTATGTGCCCAGACAAATTCATCTGCTCTGTGTGACAGAGCTGAGGGGCAATGCCAAGCTCTGGCTCCCAAGGACCAGCAAAAGAAGAGGGCACTAAAACAGCAAGCAGGCAGAGGAATGGGGAGTGTGCCTCTCCCAGGACCCCCATTATCTCATCCTGAGCCAGAGAGAACCTCTGATGCCATAGCTACCTCCTTGTGTTTTTCCTCTTGGGAAAGGGAGAAGGGAAAAATGAGGATGCAGATATTAACAGCGGGTCTCCTAAACCTCCACCACAAGCGGAACAGCTAAACCATCAAACTTCATCACTTCTTGAATCTCCTGTCTACCTACWGAATCAGTTCTCTGCTCAAATAACTACAGGACAAGATTTGAGTCAGCCCAGCCATCGTCTGACATCCCTCACGTGGACCCCACTTCATCCCTCCACCCCTCGGAGTAAAGCAGCTGTGTACAACACTGGAAATCACAGGCAGTTCCCACCCYTCTGCCATAAAGAGGAGTTTGGCCCCAGGATGAAACAACTTGAGAGTCTGGTACAAGGTCCCAGCTGGTCTGAGAGAAGAGCTATGGTTTGCCCACCCCAGGAAAGGAACAACATGGATTTCATGGCCTAATACACATAACAAACACAACTAATAGACGTGTTGCATATTTAGTGTTCACTTTGGGTTCTGTCTGGGGGAAAGGGAGGAAGGTKCATCCCAGCCCCCCAAACACAACTCAAGTCACTGCTTGGGCTCAGCCCCAGTCCGTGGAGCCACATAACAGTATCTCCTCAAACTTGACAGCATGGGAGTTTTGAAGAACTCAACTTCAGGCCAAGAGGGGATCCCAAGTTTTGAGGGTTTATGGATTTCTCTTATGGGTGTGTTTGGTTGGTTTTGGTATTTCTCTCAAGCCTTTAAAGATGCCAAGGGATGCCTTTAGGAGGAGGCTAGGGACAACTTCATATAGTCTTCAGGTCTGCAAAGAGAAACAGGGAGAGAAATCATTTCAGTAATTTCACCCCTCAGTTTGGTTCATTATTATTCACATAAACGAGCAGGGGGAACCCTCGGTGTGTGTGTTGGGGGGAAGGCAAGGCAGCTTCCCCCTCAGGGCAGGACAAGCTGCTGTGTGCAAAYGTCATGCCTCTAAGAAGGACTTTGCTTTATCAACTGCAGCAGGATAGTCGAAACCCAATCGGAAGTGCAAATCCTCCAGTCTGGCACCAAGCTAAGTTACAAACCTTCTGAGCTATTAATGACAACTGGAGAAGCCAAAGTAATTAACTCCAAGGGTTACAGCCTCGCGGTCGTGTGCAGAGCCTCCTGGGGCTGCTGGCACCCTTTTCCCATCTGTAGCCAGATGAGCCAGGAACAAGTCCAGATTTCACAAGGCAGTATGTCTGAACAGCTCAACCTTTCTCAATCTTTCTACAGATGAGTCTGTTCATGGGAAGGAGGTAAAAACCCCAGAGTCCCTGCAGGTCACTTCCTTTTGATGGGAAGCTCTCCCAGTGTGCCAGGGAAGGAAAGTGAGATGATTAGATGATTTTAAGTATGGGAACATCCAGGCACTCCTTCAAGGTCKTGCAGCTTGTTGTTAGCAGAGCCAGGGGCTAAAAAATGTGGTCCCTTGTTCTCAGCTGGAACTTCTTGAACACTCTGCACTTACTGCCCCAGCATCTCTCATGGGTGAACCATCCAGCAGAAGGCTGGACAGCTGCCCRTGGACACAGAGACCTGCACTGGGGTATAGGGATCCTACATCACCCACCCTACAAACATATACAGACACGCCCCAGCCTGATTCCTCCTGGATTCAATGGGATTCATGGTCCATAACACCTGAAAGGTGTTTGGGGCATTTAAAAGGACCCTACTCCTGCATGATGGCAAGGAACAGCCTCATTTCTTCTTTCGCTCTTCTGCAAAATCTTGCCTTATCCAGCAGCCTCCTGAGCGYGGCCACTGACCCGGATCCCGGATGGGAGATTCTGGGGAAGCATCACGTGGGACCGGGGTTACTGGAGCGTCATTGCCGAGACTCAGTGGCTGTCCCATTAGGACAAAGAAAGGAAATTTTCCGGAGTGGATAATCGCTCTGCGGGATTCGCGGCACTGAGGAGAGGATCATCCTGMTCAAGTCACGCAAGCATAATCAGATTTCACGTGTGAGGGCATAAGCTCGTTGCCATGGGGGCCCAGGAGGGGAGGTCCCCTCCAGCGTGCCACAGTTGGAGCAGGATGGGATGGGGGACATCAGCGAGGGTGTATGGGTCTCAGTGGTAGTCCCTCACAGGGATACTCACCTCTACCACAAGGCCAGGTTGATAAACTGGGGTGAGACTCAAAACCAGCATGACCCCAATGGAGGATGTCCATCAGGGCCAGAAATTCCTACCTGCATGACAGGAATACCCCTTTCTGCTCCTGGGGCAAGCTGTGAGGGGAGTTAAACTAAAGAGTATGAGGCACTCCCTCTCTGGGACACTGGAGCCATATAACCCTCCAGGCTGAGCTCTGGCATTTCAGCCACGGAACCTAAAAGTCTTAATTTTTAGCTTGGGATGGAGGTTCAGAGATTTGAGCCACTGCTTATTCTTGGCTCTTCCCTCCTTTCCACTCTCCTTGGATGAGCATGCTTGCCCTCAGCAGCTCATCAATCAAACCAGGTTAGGGTCATCTTTTGCCAGAAGCTGTATCCTTTCTTCAGATGAACATTATCCAAGTATCTCTGCTCTGGCCAATCACTGGCCAATCACTGAATCACAGGATTTATCAGCTGGACATGGCTCTGTGCAAGAAACAGCTGGAGAGCAAGGAGCCCAGACCACAGGTCTGGAATGTGAGGGTGGCTCAGGGATTGAAGGTCTCAAAGACCATGGTTTTCCTGAAGCATGGAAACTGCRTGTCCTTCTGGTGGTTCAGCAGCATTCCCTTCACTCCAGCTCAGCCACAGCATTGGCACAAGGATTCTTGCTTATGAGAGCAGACAGCAGCTCAGCTCTGACAAACTGGGGGTATTGCTGRCATTCCCGTGTGCATTTATCCTTCATGTGTGCAAAAATCCACAGCAGGTCAGGAAATCTGTAGCCCATTCACTGACTACAGCTTTCCAAAGGAATCCTGACTCACTCTAAGGAGAGCCCAGAGCATCCTACTGTAACCATGTCTGGTAACTGCCCTTTTCAGGAATAATTTCACTCAAAAAGATGATTTTCAGAAGCAYGGAATATTCCCAGCTCCTTTCCCTGGCTCAGGACCTTGTCAGGACCATCAGTCCTCTCTCTGAATCCTGTCAAGGAAGGCAGACAGCAGACTGGCTCCAGACTCTTCTCACTCCAGGCTGTGATTGACCCTTGAGATTGAAGAGCAGGGAATAAAGGCCCTCAGTGCTGGGCAGACCTGGCAATGGGTGGTTAAGTTCTCCCCAGGCAGTTCCCTCCCGTCTCACTGTTGGGGATGTCCCATCACCAACATCCTTCACCATCACCACTCTTTCCCTGTTTCTTTACCATGGGGACAGCTGCCATCACATTTCTGGTGGTGACTATAACCAGTCTTGGCAAGGACTGAGGTATTGCAGGAAGAACATGAGGAATGACACACTAAATCTGAGCTTTYCTGGTGGTCCCAAAAGTGTGAGTTGCTTCAGCCTATAAGTAACACACAGAGAGGACTTAAATGCACAACAGGGAGACAGTGCTTAGAAAAGAGTGATTGAGTGAGAGGTACCAAAAGGAGCTTCTATTGACACAAATCTGAATTTCCTGCAGTAGGACAGAGAAGTTGAAAGGTGCTCTTGGTTTTGGGAAATACCTGCTGTGCCTTGAGGCTGCCAGAGACGGCGTGAGCAAAGAGCACAAGACACATTGCCTTTGGGACAGGGGATGGTGAGGGGGCAGTGGGGCTGGGGGCTGTGCCACCCCCGAGCACACCTTGCCCATAGCCTTTTCGGGCAGAAGCTTCTCACGTTTCCCAGTCACAACAGCAACAGCTGAAAAGGGCAGAGCACAGCCAGGAAGGTGGCTTGGGTTCCTGACCAGCTCACCCATCAGCCGTGTGCCCATTCCCTTGCAAATTCCTGACCCTCCCAGCTGACCCTGCACATTGGGAACARYCMCAGCRGGGCCAGCTTGTGYTTTCCTCCATCACTCAGTGTTTGTYCTCCAGCTCRCTGAACACCAGTTTGCTCCCAGCCTGGTGAGGTGTCCCCATTCCCTGCATCCCTGGGTCTCTCCCAGCGGCAGGGGAGCCCAAGGCAGGCAGAGCAGGGCTCCCAGGGAGTTAGCAGGCAGAGAACAGCCAGCCGCCCATGCTGCACAAGGTTAAGCAGAAGCAGATGAAGACACA